ATGTATATATATGTACATGTATATATATAAAAGCCATCTCTACATACCTGTGGATGTGTGATGGCAAATGTGGTGAGCAGGTCTGTTAGGGCAGTCAAATGTGGACTGTCTTCTGACCCTGCATAGTATGGATGAGCCCGGTCTGTCCTCAGGACATCTTTAAGAACATTCCCACGGATAAATTCAAGGTCCTCGTGGCTGACCCTGGCTGTCCACTCTCTCTTCAGCTGGTCATATTCCCTTGTCTTCCTCTTCATGTAGTCCATTCTCTCCTGCCCACTTAGTCCATCAGGGTAGACGTTCAGGAGGTACCGCCAAACAACCTAACACAACAGCAAACAATCTATCATTTAATCCCTTACTGATCAACAACAGTCCTAAAATACAAATTGTATAATATAATATATAAATGTATGATTTTATATCATTTCACTTGGCACATTTTGTGTGTGCAGGAGACACAGGCAGAAAACAGGGCTGCTTTTTTCTGTGAGAGTTAGAAGGGGAAAAGCCTGTGAATAATCATTTGTTGGTGGTTTCTGTTTACAACATAATTTGGTTCCTTTTCTGGTTTGCAAAGAATCAGAAAAGGATTCAGTAAGAACCATATTTGACAAGCAGAATCTGAATCATGATCAATAAAGTTTACCTTCTATGGCACAATGTTGCCTCAAGATTAACATACCCACTTTTGAATGTTTATACCCACACAATACATCCTTAACTAGAATTACCACCTAGGCTTGTGCCAGTTTGAAAATTTTCCAACAGATTTGATTTAAAGCCAAATATCTAATCGAACCGATATATCGAATTATATGCGTAATTTTACCACTGGGGGTCGCATTTGAACTATTTTTCCCAATAAAAGCCCATTATAGGTGTAGTGCGCTTCCAATCCACTAGGTGGCGATAATGCTGTATTAACCACCAATACACACAAGGTTACAGAAGAAGAAGAAGAAGAAGAAGCAGAAGGACACTTCTCTGGCAGCAGCAGCAGCAGACAGCTGAGCCAAGCTGCGGAGTCTGCAGTCTGCAGAGCCTCTGAGACAAACTAAACAAAACACTTGTAGGCTCCTCCACTTCATTTACAAACATACATAAACCTTATTAAGTTGTCATAATGCATGTTACAATGCAAGATAAGTTGAATACAGTTCCTTGACACGCCGCTGATGTGAAAACGACCTGGCCTAATACCTCCCCTTCTGTTCCTGAGATATGACACTGAGTAATGGCCAGAAAAGTGTTTTATGATGTCACAGTGAAGTTGACCTGTGACCTCTGGATATCAAATGTCATCACTTCTTTATTTTATTCTATTAGAAATTGTGTTAAGTTTTGTAATAATTAGCTAAAAAACTTTGCGTTATGGCTAAAAGCATATTTTGTGAGGTCATATTGACCTTGACTTTTCACTACAACATTCTAATCAGCTTATTCTGCAATCCAAGAGGACGTTTGTGTCAAATTTATTGAAATTCCCTTAAGGTATTTCTGAAATATCATGACCACGAGAATGAGACAGATGCAAGGTCACATTGCCTTTGGCTTTTGACCAACTAAATCCAATCAGTTCATTGTTGAGTCCAAATTAGCATTTGTGCCAAAATTGAATAAATTCCCTCAAGGAATTCTTGGGATATCACAGTCACAAGAATGAGACAGACAAGGTCACAGTGACGTTGACCTTTGACTGCCAAAATCTAATCAGTTCATTCACGAGTCCAAGTGAATGTATGTGCCAAATTTGAAGAAAGTCCCTCAAGGCGTTCTTGACATATTGTATTCACAAGAATGAGTCAGCAAGGTCACAGTGACCTTGACCTCTGACCTTTAATCACTAAAAACTAATAAGTTCATTGTTGAGTATAAGTGGACATTTGTGGCAAATTTAATTTTAATTATATAATGAATTATGTTGCAATACTTTAAAAAAGAGCCAGGGTCCTAAGGACATCAAAAGCACTGTTTATACTGTAACATGACTCTCTAGAGGCCATGTTGAGTTTCTTTTTGGGGCCTTCTTCACACAGTTCAGATCCATCAACTCTTCACAAAAATGTTCTGAAACATCTTCTTTTTAATTTAAATTTTAAATTTAAATTTTAAACAATAACTCTCTTATGGTATTGTGTTGCCTTGAGGTAATGTATCCAAAAGTGCACCCCCCAAAAATATATTTCCTGAAAATGTAAAAAT